GTGCTGTCACCAGGGAGGGATGAGAACCCATGGCCAGTGGCTGATGAATGTCTGCTTTGTCCCCCAGGGAGAGCTGGGTCTGTCAGGACCACCGGGCATCCCTGGGAAGGAGGGGCTCATGGGACCCAAGGTAGGTCAGGGCTATGCTGGGAAAAGCCGTGATGGCACTTCAGCCCCTTGGCTGCCTTTCCCCTACTGCCAGCCCCCTACTGCCTGTCCCTGGCTGCCTGCCCACTGCCTGCCCCTTCCTTTTCACAGGGCGACCGGGGATTCGACGGGCAGCAGGGAGCCAAAGGAGACCAGGGGGAGAAAGGAGACCGGGTGAGCAGGCTGGAAAGGGATGGTACACATTGTACCACATTGCTTTTACCAGGATCCAGCCTTGGTCCGAAGCCAGATGCTCCCAGAAGAACCATCTGGCACTGCTCTAAATTACGTCACTAAACCATAAGAGATAACAGATCCCTGCCCTGGACAAGAAGGCACTGGTGTCGGTGCTTTGGGGATGCCCAGATGTGGGGTTGGAGGATGCCCATGGCACCTGCTCTGGGGCCAGGGGCTCCAACACCCCTGGACTCACCCTCTGCTCTCCCACAGGGTGCCCCAGGCATTATTGGTGGCCCCGGTCCCCGGGGCAGTGACGGTGCTCCTGGCCCTCCTGGGCCACCGGGGAGTGTTGGCCCCCGAGGCCCTGAGGGCATGCAGGGCCAGAAGGTGAGTCCCCACCATGGGTGGCCCTGTCCCTGGAGTGGAAGAGGGTTGGTGGCATCAGGAGCCATGTCGCAGCTCTGTCCCTGCCCTGCCAGCTCACTGGCTTTGGGGTCCTCCCTTGTGTCCGTGAGCCCAGAAGATGAAAGCCTGGGGGTTGGGGACCTTCCTGTCATGGGGCTGGACTGGACCCATCCCCATTCCCATCCCCGTTCCCATCCCCACTTGCACAGGCATCCACGGGGTGTGGGGACAGGGAAAGCAGTACATCCATGGTGCTGGGGAGGGCAGAGAGGCTCTGGAGCCACCAGCCAGACCTGGAGCATGTGTTCTTTGCAGGGGGAGAGAGGCCCCCCTGGACAGTCAGTGCCAGGGACCCGCGGCGTGCCTGGCATCCCCGGCGAGAGAGGAGAGCAGGTGGGTGAGCGGGTGCCCAGCCCTGGGCAGGTGAGCCCCAGCCAGGGCCAGCCTCCCACCTCTCCTCTGCTTGACCCTAGGGCAGTCCTGGCACCCAGGGGCTCCGTGGGGAGAAGGGGGAGCCGGGCATGACGGTAAGGAGCTGGGAGGGAGCTGGCATGGGCTCGCGGCACTCAGGTCACCAGGGTGGGATGGAGGGCTGGATCCGTCCCACCGCCGCTGATGGAGGGGCTTCCCCCACCTCCGGGCTCTGCCCCGCTGCATGGGCCTGGGGGAAGGGGTTTTCCTCCTCTTTAATTACACCGTCCCCCATTGCGATGTGGGTCCTCTGCCCCTCTGCATGCCCGGCAGGAGGATGAGATCCGCACCTTCGTCAGGCAGGAGATGAACCAGCACTGTGGTAAGCATCCTCCACCACACTGCCCTGGGGCCGGGGGTCTGGTCCCCGCTGCCCCTGACCCCCTACCCCATCTCTCCCACAGCCTGCGGCGGCCACTTCCCGCGGCGCCTGGATTCACGTGAGCACTCAGGTTGCGGCTCTCCCTTCCTAGACCCTGCCCCGCGTGTGTGGCACTGAAGGGGTCCTGGCACCCAAGTGTGCCACTGGTTTGGGGGGGGATGGAGGCTGCTTGGACCCTCTGGGACCCCCTCTGTCAGGGCTGGCATCAGTGTGGGACTGCGTGCAGGGAGGAGGGATGGTGCATGGCAGAAGTGATGGCACAGCAGGGATTCCCAGGGGCAGCCGGCTCAGGATAGTGCCAGTGGGGTCTGGGTGCAGCCAGGGTCTGTGCAATCAAGAAGGGACCATGGGGACTGCACCACATCCATGCTTGGGTGCTGGAGCTGGGTCAGGCAGCCTTGCAGGGGCCAGGACTGCTGGAGGGGAGGGTGGGCTGGGGGAGCGGGATGGAGTGATGAAGGGCAAGGGGTGGGCTGGGATGAGGTGGGTGCTTTCTCTCCAAGGAGGCTGGGGGGTTCAGGCCAGGAGCAGCCTCCATTCTGCCCTGGGAGGAGGAAGAAGCGTCCGCCAGGAGAGGGAGCGTGGCCAAACAGGTGATGGAGAGCCTGGAGGACCTACAAGACCTGGCCCTGTGGACACATGTGCCTCCCTGTGCCCATCATCATCCCCATCCCCATCCTGCTGGGCTCCCAGTGGGCACTAACTCACTGGGCAGCAGCTCCTCCTGCCTGTCCCTCCTCTGGGAGCCCTCAGCAGCCCTGGTCTGCAGTTCAGAGAGAGGAGGGAGGGTCCCCAGGTCCCCCATCCCTGGCTGTGAACCCCAGCAGGCTGCAGCAGTACTGGGAAAGTACCCCGGGTCCCCTCACTGCCTCCCTGATGCCTGTGCTGTGTCCTTCCCCTTTGCAGGGCTCTTCCCCACTCAACCATTCCCTGTTGGCAGCGCTCGTGCAGTCCCTGTGCTCAAGTTGTCACACGCTGAGGAAGAGGAGGGTGAGTGATGTCCCTGGGCTTTTAGTCCCTGTCCCTCTTTTCTCCTGCTCCATGTGTGTGACTGGTCACGTCCCTGCCCTCTGCTTGCAGGCACTGAGGGATAATCCAATCCCAGGGGGCTTTAATTAAAGAGTGGGGAGAGGAGAGGGCAGCAAGGAGTGTGTGTGCATGCAGGCATGCACAGGTGTGTGCTGTGTGTGTGCCGGCATGTGCAGAGCAGGGGCTGAGGCTGGGGGGAGCAGGATGGCAGATGAGGCAAGAGCTGCTCATACCCAGTGCTGTCTCTCAGGGCAGGACAGGCAGGTCATGCTCGACACCGACGACCTCGAGTATGATAGCATGTATGGGGAGGAGGCGGACTACGATGAAGTCCCGGAGATGGACAGCTCGGAGCAGCCTGTGATGGATGGTGAGCTTCCCTGCAGCCTACTGGCACTGAGGATGGAGCCACCAGAGGCAACTGTGGGGCCACCTGAGCTTTGCTGGGGTGACGCCTCCACATCCCACCTGGCAGCAGGTCCCCATGCCCTCCGGCTGGAGGGATTTGGGATTTGCAGCCCTCTCACTGGCACCCAGGTGGGGTGCACATTCCTCATCACAGCACTGTGCCATGCATGCCATGAAAACCTCATGTTCTGTCCCCCTTACTGAAGCTGTCCCTGGTGGTTTGCTGTGCTGGTGGGACCTGCTGCCCCTGGCAGGCTCCCTGTGCTCTTGGTCATGAACTGCAGGAGGAGAACCCAAAGCTCCCAGGAGAGCAGGGAAGCCCAGTGGCAGCAGTGGCATGCAAAGAGTACACATCCCTCTGGTACACTTCCAAGGAGTGCTGTGGTCATCATGTTCCCGTGCCACCTCCCTCCCAGCTCTATCTCCAGCCTTTGCTGGGAGCTGCCCGTGGGACATGAGCAGGGCAGAGAGATGTCCCCTCAAGCCAAACCCTGCCTGCGCTCAGCTGGGACCTATTCCCTGCCTTCCCCTTCTGGGGTTTCTCCTCCTCTGCCACCTGGGTCTGGCTGCCTTTACCCCCGGTGTGCTGCCAGCTCCTGCCTGCCCTCACCATCGCTGTTTGCCCCCCACAGCTGAGCCCTGCAGCCTGCCGCTGGACGAGGGGGACTGCCAGCACTACACGCTGCGGTGGTACTACAACCAAAGAGTCACCGAGTGCCGGCCCTTTGTCTACAGTGGCTGCCAGGGCAACCTCAACCGCTTCGACAGCAAGGAGGAGTGTGAGCTGCACTGCAGGCAGCGCCCAGGGGCAGGTAGGCAAGGCATGGCACGGCCACTGGCACTGGCAGGTCCAGCAGCATCCCCGTCCAGTGCCATGGGCTTGGTCAGTGCAAAGCTGGGGGGACGATGCTGGTCCCCAACCTCGTCTCTGACGCTGCCTCACTTCTCTCCATAGATGCTCATGGCGCTGCCAGGGGCAAGGCAGGAGAGCAGCCAAAGGTGTAGGTGCGGACAGTGTCTCGGCAGGCAAGGCTGCCCGCCAGCGGGGCTCGACTGCCGCCCCAGCCAGATCTGGGCTGCCCACGGTGGTGGGGGCTGCGTGCCCACCAGTCCCCAGCAGGAACCTGGTGCTATTTCTAACATGTCTTTTTGCTGCTCATGGGTTTTTCCTTTCATATCAGTTTTATTGCTCGTTAAGGTGAAATTTATATCAAACGGGAAACCACCACCCACACAAGGCTCTTAACCCCCTTTCCTACCTGGAGGTATCCTGGGCTGTTCACAGTTTGATTTTTAACTTATTTACCGCTGACAGGATGGCGCTTGGCCCTATGCTGCCTCCCTGATGGCCCAGGAATAGATCTGGGACTTGGCATGGTTGGGCTCCCCTCCCCTCATCTAACACCCTTGTCCCCTTCCCTGCCCCTCCACAGACCCCCAGCCCCGCCCCGCTCCCCTCTCTCTGCTGGGGGAGGCTGCCCGCATCCCTGGGCCAGGCAGTGTCTCCCTGCATGGCATCCCTCCCCCTCGCCCCCTGCAACCAGCTCTATCTGAATACATTTCGCCTTAACCTCAACTGAGGCCCGGTTCCCCTTTTGTGGCTGCGATGGTCTGGCAAAGACCTATGGGGAGACTGGAGGTTTCCTCCCTGCACTGCCCTCCAGCTCACACACCTGTCAGCAGCACATCTGTCCTTAATCTGGGAGGGCTCTCCTGTACCACCTGGCCTGTTGGGGAAACCCTGAGGATGGTGCTATGTTAGAGGAGGTTCCTGCTCACCTACGCTCGTTCTCAAAGGCTTTGTGAAAGCCATGTCAGCTCCTGTGGGTCT